CTTCCTTATCGCTCGTTCCCGTGTTACCCCTAAGAGAGTACACTCCATTCCCAGTTTGGAGCTCTGCGGGAGCTTAGTCGCAGCCCAGCTTGCGAAGTTGCTGGCAAACGAGTTGACCTTGACGATCCAGTCTACTGTGCTGTGGACAGATTCTACGACGGTCCTTCAGTGGTTAAAGTCAGATTCTTGTTGCTACAGAGTCTTCGTTGGCAATAGGATCGCTGAAATCCAGGAACTTACCGATCAGTGCTCTTGGCATTATGTTAGCTCTGCTGATAACCCTGCCGATGACCTCATGAAAGGGAGATCTCTTTCCTACCTTTCTTCCCCGAACCGGTGGTCCCAAGGACCCCCTTTCCTTCTCCTTGACCCTCGAGAATGGCCGTGCCTTCGGACTTCTGAGCCTGGTGAAGATCCAGCAGAGTTGCAAAAGTCTACCTTTTGTGGAGTAACTACCTCACCCACCGACTGTAGCGACCCTGATAGATGGAACTACCCCACTTGGATAGACCTGCTGGATGTCACTGCCAGAGACTTACAAGGTGAACCAGATTCTGGCATAGTTCCAGAAGCCACAGATTATTGTCATGCTAAAGTCCATGTCCTTAAACGCATCCAAGAGGAATCTTTTCCTGAAGATTACCACCTGTTAGAATCTGGAAAGTCAGTGAAACCTAGTAGCCGTTTAGTCACCTTGGCCCCTGAGATGGATCCATCTAATGGCTTAATTAGAGTGGGTGGTCGTTTGAGGAGAGTGGCTGACCTCGCAGATTCTGTTCTCCATCCTGTAGTCCTAGACCCCAAACATCCAGTTACTTGCCTGACCATCCGCCATTATGACAACAAGCGGCATCATCCTGGATCAGAGCGATTGTTTGCGGAGATACGCAGACATTATTGGATCCTACGAGGCCGTGAAGCTGTTCGACGGTTTCAGCATACATGTCCGGAATGTCACCGGTGGAGAGGTCAGCCTTCAGTGCCTCAGATGTCTGATCTACCTTCTGCCCGCCTTCAGCTTCACAAGCCTGCCTTCCATTCATGTGGGATGGATTGCTTCGGTCCTTTCCTAAT